CCGGCCGGCGGATTAAAAGAAATCCCGCTCCACAACTTCCGTTTCGAACTAGAACACGCCCGGGCTTTTGATAGCATTAATATAGCGCGCGAACTCCCAAGTTGCAGGATACTCGAGAAGTCTCTCGGCTTGTGTTATTTGAGATACTCTTATATATATATACGCACAGAAGTTAAAAACATATTACATCTATAATGTAAGATCGGATTCGATCGGATAGAAAGCACACGTGTCATACAATATGTTTCAGCGTTGCATTTTGTTGCGCGGAAATCACATCCTACAGAACAGAAAGAGACGGAGAAACTGCCTGCCTACGATTTCGATCCGCATCCATTGCCTTCTTGCGCATATAGGTCTATTTAACTGTAATTGGATGGCCTTTATTATTTCATTTAACTGTACTTGGATATATCCTCTTCTCCCCGTTTATTGTTTTCTCTCTTTTTGCGTCTCTCGAATGCAATTTATACAGGACGTCGCACGCCCACGGGGGCCCACCTTCCCCTACCCCTTATATATCCCTAGATAATAATAAATCTCGCGTTTTGTTTTGCTTCGAACGTGTGTGTATCTCACGCAGATCGTTCGGTCCGATCGACGAGTGTCGCCAAGGATAGAGCGTAGTCGGGACAAACCCGGCAAGAGCTACATCCAAGAGCGGCTTTTAATTGAATTTGCTACACCGAGAGAGTTGCGCGCGCGAGTTGCTTTCTTCCTATCAATTATATAGTAGGTCGACCGGGCGCATCTAGCATTCATTACGGAATCGGTTTGCGCAACGCTCGATTTATGGCGCGAGTATGCAAGAGCAACTGTCGCGATCGCGACGGGAATTATCAACGGACCATCTCTCTGTCTATCTGCCCGACGTTTAAAGAAGGAACGCGAGAGGAAACTCTCCGTGCGGTCTCCGCGCGCGCGTATAATATTGATTTAACAAGGTATAAAAATAAAGAAAGTCGCTCGGGCAGAGGAATTTATTGAGAATTTTAACGAGCCTCGTGAGATATTTCGTGATTCGTTTTTAGGTTACAGATGGACCGGATAGATACACAACGCGCGCGTTGTCGCAGCGGGAAGAGATTCTTTAATTTTCTCGAAAGAAATAAACGCGCGATCCTGATAAATGTCTCCGCGCAAGAAATCAGAAAAGAATAATAAAAATCAAACTGAAAACAAAAAACAAAAAAAAAAAACAAATCTTCAAGAGAAGGAAATTTTCGTATCGCTTTTTTTCGATGTAATATCCGACACTTAATCATTCGAGTGCAATGCTTAATCATCGCGAGAAGACGCGCGTTCACTTTACGAGAAACTTCTCTCTCAACTCTCATACCAATTTCGCAATTCAATTTATCTGCGTCAGCGGAAACTTTGTCTCATTATCGATGCTAATGCAACAAATCGAAATGCTCGTAAAATCGAGTTGCGATAAGAAGAAAAACGACGAGAAACGCGCGCGCATAGTTTTAAATGTGGAACAAAGTGTGTATGTATGTGTATGTGTCTGATAGAGAGAAAGAGAAAATAGAAACAAAGGGAGTGTAAAAAAAAGCGAGAGAAGATGCGTTTAGGAGGATAAATTAAAGTGCGCGCGCGGACCCCAAAACTATCTAAACTCGAAAAGAGTTCCTCGCCGATACGCGGCGTCGCTCTGCGTGTTAACGGGATCGAGAGTTACGTCGAACCGGTTGTATTCGACGCGATGTCCTTAGGCGGCCAACAACGGGTGGTAGTGGTAACATCGTATGTAGGTCTCCTTCTGCGATTGGTCGAGTCCGCCGCGGCGCGATCGGCCTGGTGGATAATAATCCAACCGCGCCACGTTGTGTCTGCTCGGGTCCGACTCGCGGCCGTGTCGGACTCACCTGCTGCACCTGGCTCGGCTCGTGATCACACACCGAAACCGAACTCGATGAATTCGGCTATGCCGGCGGTGGCTGTTACGTACGTAACAGTCGGGCAGGTTCTCGGAAACCTCAGTCCATATCGAATTCCGGGTTTTCCAGAAGACTTCACTTATACTCCGCGGAGTATCTCGTCTCGGACGAATTCGCCCGTTACTTTTTAACACTTTCGAGTTCGTTTCAAGACGATTTTTACGTGTCGTTTTTACGAGTCATCGCGTCGCGATGACGTATTTCGAAGTTTTAGCGCGAAAAAATCGCACGAGAAGAGACGAGAAGAAAAATCTGACACGTGTCATATGCGACAATACACACGTAAATGTATTTTTTTTTTCTTTATTAGATATTTAAGTAACAATCGAGAGACGTCGCCGATCGTGTGTGTGTGTGTATCTCGCGCTAAATTTATGCGCGGACCGCGCAGTGTCTTCGTACACACACCGGAGCTGGACACGGGAAAAAGAAACTTTTTACAATTTTCGTATCTCTAACACCGGCTGTTTTGGTGAATTCTCAAGTCTAGTTGTGTGAAGAGTTTCGTGTTATATAATATAAAAGTTTTTTCGGTTTTGCTCTACGCGCTTTCGCGAACGGAGATAAGCATCTCGCGAGAGACGCACAATTTATTATTAGTTTCTATAAAACCTCCACGTATATGCGAACTCGCTCGTCGACACCGACGCTCACGGTGTGTGACGAACGTTCTGTTAACATTTGTTAATTAATTTTACCGACGCAGTTGTGATGCGAAAGAATGAACATATATATATACATACTGTTTAAATTATATCGTTGATTTATATGCTACGTGATCTCGATTTTAATTTGACTAATTGAATTTCGAAATAGAAAAACGTTTCGAATTTTGAATGCGCTCATTATAAACTCGAAAACTTTCGCTTTAAAAGAACGTTTATTATCAATTCGAGGAGAAAGTGATAAAATTTCTTCATTAGATTTGAAAATATATTTAAAAAGAAACTGTAAAAAATTTTTTAGTTTATAATATATTTTCTTTTTCAATCTTTATGTATATATATACACACACACATACACGTTTTATATTTTATATTGATTAGTAAGAAAGAGAAGGAGAGAGAGATACTTAATTGCACACGTGCAGACATCGATAAGCGGCGCATCCTTCTGACATCATCGATCAGAACTTGTTGGCTTTTTCTTATTTGCTGCGCCGTTTCTTCCGCACGTTCCTTCACTCCATCATTCGCGGCCTGCATCGATATTTTTCCAAGGCCGTTGCCGGTTATTAGTTAAGCTTTCTTTTCTCCCCAGTTATTTTTCCGCGATCGGGTCGGTCAGTCAGCACGAATCAATCTCTCGATCCGTTCGATTAAACTTGTCCTCGCTACAATGAGATCCACATTTTTCTCAACGGAGATCCGGAACCGTCAAAATATATAAGTTTCGATAGAACTTTCGAAGTAAAATAAAAATTAAACCAAATTGTTTATTTGATTATTGCTTAAAGATTTTTTCACGATTTTTTAATTTTATTTTTATCATATTGTTTCTGACTGGAAAGCGGAACAAAGCATTCTCGTATGAAATCTAATAATTATATAGCAAATCAACTCTCTCGACGTAAAATTCAGAAAAAAAAGTCAAGTTGTGCCGCCTTTGATATTGTACGTTATCTCGAAATTCATGGATTTTAATAATACCCATTAATTTCGCGATTCCACGGCGAATCCCGTTAATTTCGAGACGAAATTTTATCGCGTTTCCGGAATCTTCGCCGCGGTTAAAGAAAAAGCAGTAAATTCTGCGGTTATTAAATTCCGCGATACAATCGAAGCCGGCTATACATTATTGCGTCTGTCAATCGATGATATTTTCGCGCATCTTACATTTTGCATTATATTCTCTTTGCGCGTGTTTGCGGCCACGAGACATAAACAAACCTTTCGCAGGTGTACTCGATTTGCAAGATACATATATCTAGCGTGCAAAACGATATCTTGTCGCGCTCAGATAACGTATATTCCTTGATTGCTAAGTATGTTAATAAATCATAACGGGTTAACAAATACCGTATTAAAACAGAAAGACACATAAAAAGCAATATTTAATCAAAAATTCTATATATTATTTGAATTATTGAATATCTGAAAGTTATTCTCCGAGTATTTTTCCAAATACTCGAATTATACAATTATATTTCGTATAAATCTGGTCTTCGAAAAATACTCGAAAATACTGTCATCACGGAACAAGTACTGCTCAATATCAAATTTCTACTTCGTGCGAGATCAGATATCCGGTACTCGGGTATTTTATCATCGGATGGCTTTGTTACTCTCCGTATGACTCACCTATGTTTTTTGAATCGTCATTCAATAATTATTGATAACTTTAAAGAGTAAAAAAAAAGAGAAAAGAGATACGTGTGTATGTGTGTGTGAGAGAGAAAGAACAGAAATTGTGTATTTAAAAACTTTTTTTTTAATTAAATGTCTTAGTAGTTCTGCGTCGCTAAATTGAGTTAATGCGATAGGTTTAGGCCAAAAAGTCGCGTCCTTGAGGCCGCATCGGCGAGCCGATTCCTCCGTATGACCGCGAGTACGCGAATCTGTAGAGGCCCCCGTGTTTGTGGAATCCAATGAAGTCCGCGGACTCGTGTTAGTGACACGTGCAGCGCGCGGATATAACCACCGGTTGGAGAACCTTTGTGCGCACAACGACAACGACGACGACGACGACGACGACGACGACGACGAGGAGGAGGAGGAGGAGGAGGTAGAGAGAAGGAGGTTCGCGGGGTGGCGCACGGGTGAAGGCGCGGATACCCGGGAGGGAGAGGGACTCAAGTACCGCTATACCTGGAGTCGCCCGAGGCGGAATACATACCTACCTACCTACCTAGTATACGTACCCCTCTTTCTCTCCTGCCGTCTTTTCTTCTCTTTCCCGCGCGTCCAATCGTTCTCCCTCCTCCTACTTCCCACCCTCCGGGTGGCCTCCTCTCCCCCCCCTCGATCCCTCTTCGTCACGCGGACCCGCGCAAGTTATATCGCTGGAAGTCCACGCCATGATGCACGCCATGGAGCAACCAGTGGTTTGCCTGTCTTCGCCGACAACGCGCGTCGCGACGTCGCCATCGTTCTCCTTCTCTCTTTTTTTCTCTCTTTCTCCTTTTCGTTATTCTGTCGCACGCGCGCGAGGTCCAGCGGAGAGAGTTTATTTGTTCTGTTAATTTTTTCGAATTCTCTCGGAGCCACGAAGAGATTCCAAAAGTATAGAAGAGTCTTTAGTATACGCAATTCTCCTCCGTGAACATTTTCAAACCCTCTATTTCTCTCTTTCTTTCTCTCTCTCTCCTCTCTCTCTCTCTCTCTCTCTCTCTCTCCTCCTCCTCTTCAAGAATATGCTATTCTAAATTCTTAAGTTTTCGTTAATTTCAGAATAAAATTGAGTTTTGGAATCTCAAGTGGATCACTCGACTAGACCGGACAGTTTTTCAAAAAAGTAGTGTGTTCCTAAGTGTGCTCACAGTGTGATTTGACGTCACATAGCTGATGTGTCGGTGTCGCGCCAGCTTGAAATTTAAAAAATTGAAGAAAAAATAAAGCTTTATCCTTTGTCTTCGAAGATACTTCGATTTTCGGTCTGTCAGAGAACTATCGCTCTCGAAACAAATTATCGTCGTCGTCTAGAAACTCGACTTTTGCTTTAAAAAAAAAAAAAAAAAAAAAAAAAAAGAAAACAAAACGACAAGAGGAAAAGCGTAAATCTCTCCGAGCATTCTTCTCGCGAAGCGCACGTTATTTCACTTTATCTCACACTCGATCGGAAATTCATCATAGTCATGTTTTGCGTAGCGACGACGACAACGACAACAACGACTCGGTTAGATTAAGGATCGCCGGGTGATCGCAACGGCGGCGGCAAAGTGGAAGAGGACGCCACGAAGAAGGCTTTCCTCTTCGAATGCTCACCTGCCCTACCACTTCCTCTTCTTCCTCGTCCTCCTCCTCCTCCTCCTCTCCTCCTCCTCCTCCTCCTCCTCATTCTGCTCCGCCACCTCCATCGCGCTTATAGTCGTTCGGTTGCCGGTAAGCAATACGGTTTACGGCCGCGTACGACGGTGTTCCGGAACAGCTGTTGCTATTGGTCGCTGGTCGGCGTCCAGCGATCGCGGTTGCTCGAGGAGCTCTCCTCGAGAAATGACTGTTCGCGAAATTTAAGAACGATACAAGAACGATAATCCCGACATCCTGGAAAGCGTATTTTGAATTTTTTTGGTGGTTTTTGCACGAGCAAAAGTGAACGATGCCCGAGTTTCGCGGAGCGCACAAATTGTGACAAGTCGATTGTTTGAGGATTCGGATTGTTCGAGATAGGATTCGCGTCGGATTTGGACGTCCGATTTACGTCGCGTTTCACGCGAGTGCCGAAGAAAGTAAGGTGAACTAGTGTTTGGAAAGTATTCGAAATCGAGAAGAAAGGAAAGTTTTTGGATCTTGTTCTGTTTTCGGATTTATCCCGAGCGCTGTCCTGAATGAGGACAGATGTAAGAATTCATCGAATAGAAATTGAGAAAAAATGGGAATTCGTCGCACACTCTAAGAAATCAAAGTCCGTCATCCACCGCGTCGTGTGCGAGCAATATTCGAAAAAACGTTCGAAAGACTCATTGAGATTCTCGCGATCGTTCAATTCCTGAGGACCCCGACGACGAGACGCGACCATCAACGAAGTCGCATGGCCACTACGTCGTTGACGCGCCTGCGTGGATATCCGTGCGAGGAACGTCGAGCCGTGACGACGCCTCGCGTCGTCCAGCATGCCTTCCCGCACCACGTGACCGTTACCCAGTGAACAACCTCTCGTCGAGACAGAGGAGTCCGGAGTACTTCGTCTTCGAGTAGCGTCGACGGGACGCGCGTTTTCTGAGACGTCTTCCCTCCTCCCCCCTCAAAAAACACATTTCTGGGATCCGTCCCGCGAAACTTTACTCTTGCGATCTCTATCGCGCGAAGAGATTCACGACTCAATTCGACTTTTAGTAGTCGTCGAGGGATTTTCTGGCCGAGATCACGTCTCTTCTATTCCCAGAGGTTAGTTCACTCGCTTCGTTCCGGTATCGTACACATGCGTGTGGGCAGGAGTGTGGGTACGTGCTCGGTGCAACGATTGCATGCGCTCCGTGCGCGTGTGGTACGTGTAAGCGGGCACGTGAATGCGTGTGTGTGTGTGTGTGAGTGTGTGTGTGTGTGTGCGTCTCTGAGCGACTGTGTGTATGCGCGTGAGCCTTGCGCAGATATATGTTTATCCGTGTTGCGAAAGTGCAGCGAGCTGCATTATTTGCGGCCAGCGGGGTGTGAACTTTTTCGGTGATCGAACTTGGTTTCGTGACGCGGTTTGATGGCGACGGAAAACAATCAACGCGAATGAGAAACTCCGTTTTCCAGATTGCGTTAAAAAAAAAAAAAAAAAAAAAATTGCTTTCCAACCGAGACTTTCAGTTTTGCAAAACGCTTTTACGGAGGATACGTACGTTTGCTGTATCGCGAAAGGTTTTAAAAATACTGACGTGAGATCGTGTTTTATCGTTCGAGCTGTTTTTACATTGGCTTGCAAATTCTTGCGTTTAAAAATTGCGAAATAAATATTATCTCCTCCGCAATAATTGATTCGATGGTTACAAATGTAAGTTGTTGCTACAACAAATCACATTGTAGCACCGTGATAAATCGTAGCTACTACGGTCCTGAAATGAAACGAATTTCTAGGATGTGAACAAAAATAAAAGGATTGACAAGCGTCTAATCACAGAACGCTACAAAGTAGGTTCGTCGATCGCGGTCGCGTGAGTGTTCCGAATGCGTAATCTCCGTAGAATTACACGCGGCTTAAAGACAACGGAAGTGTCATCGCCTCTGTCGCTCGCACACTCGGTGTCTCTTCGCGATGACGCACAGCCTCCGTGCTTCGACCACAACAAGGAAAGATTTATCAATTGCACCGGGAATTATCGCCCACGATGTTTGTTTCGAAAGAAAATTACGTGTGCGCGACGACTAGGTTGAAAAATGATGCTCTTTAAGAGTTTTATTTATCGCCGTGAAAAATAGAAAAGAGATAAGCAATTGAAGAATATATGCGTTTCCAAGAAGTTAAAAATATTCGAAATTTACATAATTAATAGAAAAAAACACACAAAAACTACAATCTCTTTAATTAAAAAAAAAACTATAGAAATAAATCAAAAGTCAAGACAATACTATGAAGATAGTAGTTCCTTGACGAACCAAGACACTATTGTTAATGTTAATTAATTTTACACAAAAAAAAACTGTACATTGAAATAACTTTACATATTAATTTAAAACAATGTACATTAAATATTGCGAATATCATATTACAATTACATACAGTTTTTTTTCTATATTTTGTTTAGAGATATATTTTTATAAACTTTCCAAATAAGTTAATGACGTGTATTTTAAAACGCTTCTGGCACCTCAGTCGAAATCAGCGCTAAATATTAACACTTCGAAGTGTACATAATTTTATTCGACTGTTTTTTGATTGGGTTGTTTCGCAACCCAATCAAAAATAACTTTGTTGCAAGAAGAAGCAAGCGGACTTAATAAATATATTCATATTAAGTTTACAAACTTATTTCTTTCTCCGTGTCGTTTTCCTTTCGTTGGCGCGCGTGCGCGCGCTTCGAGAAATCGGTTCTCTCGGCTTGAAATTCACCGCGATATGTCCGTTCTGCGCGATGAATCGCCACGGTGGCTGCTGTGTGTGTTGTGCGGCCTGCGAAACAAATAATTGGTGAAAAATTCCAGCTGCTCACGACACCGCGACCGCGCCACGGTATTAATTAACTATAAAATCGCGGTAATGGCAAATGTGTCGCGCGCGTGCGTGTCCCCGGACTTTTCCGTATTATATATGTATATATATATATATATCAATGTAACAAACAAAAAAACTAGAGATAGTGTCACGCTCGTGCACGCATAAGTATCGCAGAACTCCAGAAAATCTAAATATTCAAGACAAATGTTTTTTTTTTTTTAACATTGAAGACGTAAAAAAAGTATGACAATCAAAATTACAATATAATTTTACGAACAAGTAATTTGCGAAAAAGTTTGTGTTTCCTTAAAAAGCTTGTCTTTGTTAGAATTGTGTATTTCGAAAACCGTGAAGATTCTCTTTTGTAAAAGTGTTTAAACAATGTTTTTTAAACACAGTAACATTACTCAATGTTTTTTTTTTGTTTTGAGCATTTCTTTTTATTGAATTCAAAGTATTACTTTCTCATCAAACAACACACAAGTAAATGCTATTTGAAATAAATCTCTTTTATATATTCGTCCAGAGGATATTCATCTCTGTATAAGATCTCGAGTTGAATTAAAAACAAAAAAAAAAAACAAGATTGAATATTTAACGAGTCTGGCGCTGGATCGAGTTGCCGGGATTCGATCTTGAGAGCGATTTTTACGGCAGCTTGAAAATTTTTACGACGGGATGTGTGGTAAGAACAGAGAGACGATTCGGGAGAATTGCCTCCCGTCGGCTTCGTCGCTCCGTGGAATTTGGATGAATATCTGTTATTTTCGTTCAGGGAAACCGTGCGCGGAATTTTGATCGTCCCGATCCCGGTTTTGGCGTAGCCAAGTCGCGCCGCGGACGTAGTGTCCAGAAACGGCGCTTGTTTTTCAAGAAAAACGCAAGCGCCACGGGACACAAAGACGTGTTTCTCGCCCCTTTTCTTTATTTACGGATATAAACACGCTGGACATGCGTGGCCGCCAAATAAAAATACATTTTAGAAGCGTCGTCTATATACAGCGCTATTTTTAGCGTCGACGAAATCCGCGAGATCACGGTACACATTCCAAACAATATATCGTGCGATTCTAATTTAAAACTCCGCAACCCGTGTTTGTTTAATTGTAAATGTTTAATTAATTGACTTAGTGGAATTTAAAAGTTAATTTATTAAAAACCGCGCGCGTTAAAACACAGCCTAAGACAAATTAAAACACAAATAAAATTTAAATTCCTTAATCAGATGTTGCAATAAAACATCTACGTTGAATTTGACACGGCTTGTAATTTACCTCGGTGGATATTACTTATATAAAATAATTTAGCACTTTATGTAAAAAAAAAAAAAAAAGAAACAAAGTTATCTGTAATTTAGTTTCAACGTGAAAAAAAGTGTGAAAATAAATTGAAAATCGCAAACTCGTCTGTTTCTTGCGCGTCCGAGAAAAGTGGGTTAAGCTCGGTAAGAGTCTCTCTCTCTTTCTCTTTTTCTTCACTTTTCTCGTCGAAGGAAAAGATAAAGAAACGTTCACGAAGAAACGAAAGAATCGCGAGGGGACTGAGAAATAGAAAACGGGCAGGAAGCAAGAACGCCGGGCCGAGACAAAAGGTAAGATCGAGGATGCAGACGCGCGCGGCGATACGCATCTCCGAGCGTGTGATCGCGTAGCGTGCCGGGCGTTGAAGTCTCCTTCGTTGAAGTCACTGCTTACGCGAGTGATAGATATCTGGGACGCGACGCATAATGACGCCGACGCTTTTGTAATCCACGTGACTCTGTCTTGCGTTGATTCTTGATCGAAAACCAGTACCGGTTAAAAAGTCACTGCAAATGTATGCTACTAATTATACAAGCAAATAAATTAAAAAATATATGTAACTAATTAAAAAATTCATCTCTTTTTCTCTCTCTCTTTCTCTCTCTCGTATATATTTTATTTTTTAACTCAAATAAACAGAGATAATATATTCACATTAATATATGTTGAAATTTGTTTATGACATATAGGATAGATAATGTATTCTCACATTAATTAAAATTTATGCCAATTTCGTTTTCGATCGTGCGGTAGTCGAGTGTTGCGAGCGTTTCACTCATCGTCAGTAGAACGAGAAAGCAAAGCAGATTTATTAATAGTTCTCTTTCTACTGGCAATGTCCGCAGGAAAACAGTGGAAGGACACACACATGAGGTCATCGTCATAAAATACATCGATACAAGTGTCATATACAAGAAAGATTGCTGAATTTCTCTCCTTGATGATCCTAGTTTTTGTAGAAAGAAAGAAAGAAAAAGAGAGAGAGAGAGAGAGAGAGAGAGAGAGAAAGAGAGAAAAAAAATCATGTTTGAGGGATTATTGTGGATTAAATTTATCGATCGCACGACGACGCTTTGTAGTGCGAAATATTTCTGGACGTTAGCCAATTTTATGCGCACACTCACACAGATTTAATTTCGACGCTATCGATCAACGCGCCGCGCCGATTTCTAGATAGCAACGCTCGGCCGTGCGAGAGCGATCGATCAATCTCTACAGACGCAGTAATTTGATTATCTTTATCCACATACACGTGGACCAAATGTCGATAGAGTAACCACTCGAGAATAGTGTGAGAGAGATTGTGTAAAGTAAATAAAGTATCAACTGTTTAAGTGAGTTTGACACACTTAACCATCGCGGTAATATTTCGTTGAATAAATTGCCGCGGCTTTATTTGTTATTATTTTTGCACTTCCATCCAGCAACCGGTTTGAATTGGCTCTCTTTTACTATCTGAATTTCTACTTTCGATGTCGTAGTTGTTTAACAAACTTGAAACAGAGAGAGACAGAGAAAGAGAGAGAGAGAGAGAGAGAAAGAGAGAATCTTCTATTTTCTCGCGCGTCGCGCGCGGCTTCTCTTGATATTATCTTATTTCATCGCGGAATTTATTCGACATATAGATTCTTCAAGAACAACTCTGAATTATGCGCCGCGTTGCAATAAAACTTATACCGTTGTAGATGCGAGGTTTCGCGAAGTTTAATATGTTTTGCGCACGCGCTCATATAGCTAGTACGAGTGCAGGACAGGTTTCGACGACGTTGGCAGGATACTCTGACATTTGCCAGGTTGATAGTCGAGTGGTTCACCTATAGCGCGAAGTGCACCTATCTGTCGCGTTATACACGGTGTCTCGCAAACTCGGACCGTTTTCTCGAGTCGCCGTAGTCGCAAAATCTCGAATTCGGTGACGTTTTTCTCGCACTTGTTTAATTTTCAAC